CTGCCCCCGGCGTGGTCACCTGCCCCTGAGCGGTCACCAGGCCCCGGCACGGTCACCTGTCCCCGGAGCGGTCACCTGCCCCCGGTGTGGTCACCTGCCCCCGGTGTGGTCACCTGCCCCTGGAGCACACCACCAGGGAAGCCAAATGCATTGGGATAAGGTTGCTGCATGTGTGTGCTGCGGGCGGGCGGCCTGAGGACTTTGTCCTGGGTCCCAGGGCCCGCGTGCCTGGTGCCTGGGAGGGACCTGCTGAGTGTCAGTGAAGGGATGAACGACGGATTTCCCCCAGGATGAAGGAATGTTAATTCCTGGCTTAGGGACGGTCCTTCCATCTTTGCAGGCAGATGTGCTAAGGGGCAGTGGGCTGCTCTGGCCTGCAGCGGGGTCTGTGGGGCCTCTGGGGACTCGGGCTACACGGAGGAAAAGTGAGCCGAGTGGGCTGTTTGGAGATGTGTTCGGGAGCTGAAATTTGGGGACTGAAGGTGGTTCGGCCACACCAAGCATGTAGCCAGCAGCTGGTTACGGTGCGCCTGCAAGGTGCTGCGGGCACCAGGGACATGCAGTGAAAACAACAAAGACCCGTTGTCAAGAGGCTGCCTTCAGGGCAGAGGAAGGGGCCAACAGTCACAAGGGAGCTCATCGGGAAACAATGCCGGGGAAGGGTCTGTGGTGGGCTGGGGTCTCTGTTTCACCAGGAGGTTGGGGGTCACCTGGACCAGGGAGCCGTGTTCAAGATTCCAGGAGGGGCACGCTGAGCCCCAAGGGTGTCGAAGGGCATTGCAGGCTGCGGGCGGGGTGGACGTGTGCTGGGCATCCCAGGGGAGGGCTGGTGGGTCCTGTGCAGTTCTCAGCCTTCGGAGCATCTTGGCTTCTCCTCAGAGAGCTGGATGCCCGTGCGGGAGGATGTGACTGGGGGAATGGGGCGCCGGTGGGGCTCGGTGGGCAGTCCTGGGCAGGTTTGGTAGTGGAAGCCCCCTGGCAGAATGCCCGGGGTTTCGCGGGAGCATCCGGGAGACTGGAGCTGTGGCCGGAACAGGGAGGCAGCAGGGGACAGCTCTTCTCAGACTGCTGAATGGCATGCAGGCCAGGCAGCTGAATACAGGCGCCGAGCATCCAAGGGCTGGGCCCGGCTGGGGGTTTCACGCTGGGCAGGTCACTGTGGGGCCAGGTGACATTGTCCAGGGCCCTTGGCCAATGAGGTCAGCGGACTGCTCCGAACCAAGTCTTTAAAGGCAGAAAATAAGTTACAAGAGGTTTCAAAGGAAGCCAGTTATCTGGGAACACAGTTCCAATCATGGCCCCCGGCTGTACATCCCAGAACGTCTGGGAAGCAGTGAGCATTGCTGGAGAGGAGCAGAGGAAAGGGGGAAGCCACTGCCTCTCCCGTGGTCTCAGGAGGAGGAAGGCAGAGCCCCTGGGCGGTGGGGGCAGATGGGGTGTCCAGGAAACCAGCACAAATGCCCTGGGGACATTAGATGTGTGTGGGGGGGGGGGCGCCCAGAACCAAGGTAAGAGGCTAGAAGGGCTGACCTTTGGGCTGGGCAAGATATAGGTCGCTGTGACTTTGGCTTGGGCAGCTTCCGTGGTGAGGCTGGAGGTGGTCCTCGGGGGATGAGGAGGAACAGAGCAGCCGGGCAGGAGCTGGTTTGGGGGGTGGGCGGATGATGCAGGGCAGGGCCGGGCCCTGGCCTGGCCTGTAGTCTTGCTCTGCTACTCCCCAGTGGTCATATACTCCCTGAGCTTTCATTTCTTTGTCTGCAAGGAAGGACTGTGGTGCCACATTGGGTTTGACGGCCCCAGGGCCCGGCGCACCGTGGCAGCTATGCATAAGAGCTGGTCTGTGTTAGCCTCGCAGGGCTTTAAGCATCAGAGTGACACGCGCTGGTGGTCCTTGGGCTGTCAATGCAGAAGGGCGCTGGAGCTCAGAGCAGGAGTTGGGGACAGGGCGGTGGCCACGGCAGGCACCCTGGAGGGAGCTGATGCTAGCCTGGCAGGGTGGGAGGAGGAGGACCTGGGGAGGTAGAAGCTGACAGTTGTGCTGATATGCAGGACGTGGGGAAGGAGATGACTAGAACACCCCCAAATTTCCAGCCAGGAGCTGGAGAAGCACGGGGTGGGGTTGCAATGGGGAGGAAGACCCGGAGGTCAGAGTGAGACTTCAGTGTGGGATTGCCGGGGGTTCCCCAGGTGGGGTTGTCATTTGAGCAGGGCACTCTGGGATCTGGAGCACCAGCCCAGGACCAGGTCAGCCTGACCCGCACTCACTGGGAGTCCTGAGCCAATCCCAGAAGCTCTGTTGGCCCCTCAGGCCGCTTGTCTTTAAAATGGAAAGAGCAAAAATAATCTTTCCTTGATTGCTTGAGGAATGAAGATCGGGTAGAAGCGATTTTGTGCAAAAAAGATGCCAGCAACAAAATACCAATGCCCGTGTCCATCATTAGGTGGGGGACAGAGGGCTTGGGGGGCAGGCTGCCGGAGGAGGAGCACTTGGGGACAGAGGCTGGGCAATCGGGGCTCGCACGGGAGATGCTAAAGAAGGAAATGTTTGGAAGTGGTATTCAGAAGAGGACAGGAAGATGTGTGTGTTTCCACTCGTGTTCACACCTCCATGTGCACATGTGCAAGGACGTGTGCGCTGTATCGTGTGTGTATGCGTGTCGTGCATTGTGTGAGCACTGTGCTTGTGCGTCTGCGGATACAAGTGTGTGCACACATATGAGTGCATGCATTGTATATGTGCAATTGTGTGTGCATGTGTGTGCCCATGTGTATGTGCAGGATATTGAGCATGCACAGGTGCACGTTCACGCCTACATGTGTGTACACGCGTGTGCATGCTGGTGTGAACAGTACATGTGTGTACCTGTGCTTGTGTGTGAGCCCATGCGAGTGAGTACTCATGGCATGTACACATGTTCAAGCATGCATGTGTACACACGTGTGCACAGCTGGTGTGCACAGTACACCTGTGTACATTGTGCTTGTGTGTGAGCACTCACAGTATGTACACATAGTCAAGCATGTGTGTACATGTTTGCACAGCTGGTGTGCACGTGTGAGCACACGCGGTATGTGCATGTGTGTGAGCACTCACGGTGTGCACGTGTGTTCATGCATGCATGTGTGCATGGCTGGTATGTACGGTATACTGTGTGTACATTGTGCTTGTGTGTGAGCACTCACGGTGTGTATGCATGTTCAAGCACGTGTGTGTACGTGTGTGCACGGCTGTGTGCATATGTGCAAGTGTGTGAGCACTCGCCATATGTATGTGTGTTTATGCATGTATGTGTACACGTGTGCAAGGCGGGTGTGTACATTGTGTTCATGTGTGAGCGTGTGTATGTGAACACTCATGGTATGTGATCATATTCGTGCATGCATGTGTATGCACATGTGCACGGCTGGTGTGCACAGTACACCGTGTGTACATTGTGCTCACGTGTGAGCATGTGCGTGTGAACACTCACAGTATGTACGTGTGTTCAAGCATGCATGTGTGTGCACGTGTGCGCGGCTGGTGTGCAGAGTACACCGTGTGTACATTGTGCTCATGTGTGAGCGTGCATGTGAACACTCAGTAAGTACACGTGTTCAAGCATGCATGTGTACGCACGTGTTCATGGCTGGTGTGCACAGTACACCGTGTGTACATTGTGCTCGTGTATGAGCCTGTGCGTGTGAACACTCACAGTATGTACGCGTGTTCAAGCATGCATGTGTACGCACGTGTGCGCGGCTGGTGTGCACAGTACACTGTGTGTACATTGTGCTCGTATGTGAGCCTGCGTGTGAACACTCACAGTATGTACGCGTGTTCAAGCATGCGTGTGTATGCACATGTGTGCAGCTGGTGTGCACAGTACACCGTGTGTACATTGTGCTTGTGTGTGAGCGTATGCACGTGAACACTCACAGTATGTACGCGTGTTCAAGCATGCATATGTACGCACGTGTGCGTGGCTAGTGTGCACAGTACACCGTGTGTACATTGTGCTTGTGTGTGAGCGTGCGTGTGAACACCTACCGTATGTACGCGTGTTCAAGCACGGATGTGTACACACGTGTGCGCAGCTGGTGTGCACAGTACACCGTGTGTACATTGTGCTCATGTGTGAGCATGTGTGTGTGAGCGCTCACGGTACACACGCGCCGCCGAGCATGTGTGCATTCTGAGGCTGGGCTCCGTGCAGGGCCAATTCCAGCGCTCCTGACAAAGGGCAGTGCCGCGGCTGTGTGGCCGGGGCTGGCGGTCTCGTGGGAAGACGATTTGGAGAGTGTGGGCTGGGACTGCCCGCCATGTGGAGGAGGGGGCTCACCTGCGCTGGGCAAGGTTGGCCAGCTGGTGGTCACCGGGCCCAGAGGCAGCTCCCACCTCAGGACATGTCCCTGGACCCGGAATGCCCTGGTGCTTCTGGGACCTTGGGAATAAAAGCTCTCGTAGCAGTATTAACAGCAGCGGTGTCTTGAGGGTTTCCTTTGTGCCGGAAGCATCCACACATTAACGAGTTTACTCTTTCTAGCAGCCCATGAGATAGGCCCACCAAGCACCCTCCTGCCCCTGGGCCTTTGCGCTGGCTGTTCCTTTTGCCTGGAACACTCATCCCCGGATACCTGCAGGGCTCTTGGTCTCAAGTTCTTGCCCAGACACCACCTTCTCGGCAAACCCTGGCCGTGCTGTGTCAAACAGCGGCAGCCCGAGCCCCCCTCTCCAGCCCCACATGCTGTCCCTTTCTTTCCACAGCATGTATCGCCCGTGAACACACTGATAACTTGCTGATTTTGTTGGGTCCCTGCCCC